CGTGTGCTCCTTGTGGCGCCACCACTGATTCCCCCACACACAATAGCACGCTGAGCTGCCGCTGTAGCAGCTGAAAAACAGGAGCTGGCACCCTCGCAATCCCGGGGACAGGGCTGAGGCTCCAGGCCCACGGGGGCAGAGGCAGAATGCCCCACAGGGCCCTCCCCAACCGCCCAAGACAGAGAACTGTCCCTTGGGGCCGCAGCTGCACAATTTAGAATTTAGGGGGAAGTTTTAAAATGCCCAATTGAACCAAATGAGAGATCAGAATGAAACCAACAGAAAACCTACCAGGAATATTCTCACAGTACTTGGACCAAGAAAGACTGAGAGGAAACTGGGCCAGGATTGAAAGGCACCAGTATTTAAGTGTTTGCTCTCAGTCTTTGGACCAATCAGGCTTTGGGAATACCCACACATGACCACTCCCGCCCTTCCTCTGGAAAACTGGTCTGTGTGTGGTGGAAATTACAATTTCGTAGAAATAATGTGTCCTGGATTTGTTATGCATTTTTAAGTTATTGGAATAGAAGTACCTTGATTCAAAAATATTTGAATAATGTGTAATGTACTGGAAGTGGAAGCAATTTCTGATTTATTTACTGCCTTCTTTATTGACTTTGCTTGTGGGAAGCTAGAAGGGAGCATTGGAAATCATGATCAAGTGGAGTCTTTCTAAACTGGTATAAATATTGCAAAATTTTAAATTCCACTGGAGTCCTGGGTCTCAGTTTTTTAATGCATTCTTTATGTTAGGATAATTCAAGTATCTGGATTCAAAAATTGTTCCAATATAATGCACTACTTTGGCAAACAGGAGGATACAAAAAGACAGGAGAATTTTCGTAGTATAGTAATAAAAATAGTAAGTAATAAAAATTAATTTTCTTTGAAAAATGTGATAAAATCTCCTTATGATTTTGGATTAAGACAGAGGAGATTCAATAATGGCACTCACTAAGAAATGTAAGATTGAATACTTGTTCTCGGCCCAATCTATAAGGCTCATTGGAATAAAATCTGAGGAAGATTCTGACATGTTATCCTGACCATGAGTTTAAATACAGTAAACAAATATGTAATAATACTGCTTTTAAAATACGTATGTTTGGGTGTTAATTTGTTCTAGATGTCATCCTAGCATCTAGCGTTCAACCTTTACAATACATTTTATATTCAATGTAAATTTGTTAAGAGTATTATTTTAAAATACAGTTAATACTTATTCACAATGAATGCATTTAAATCCAGACTGGTATAGTTTAGGGCAAATTTTTTGGAGATTTGATATTAAAGGATATAGAAAGCCTAAGACTAGGTTAACAATATCTCTGTAGTCCTAAGAATTAAAAACAAGCAATTTGCAATTGAAAAGGGAAATGTAGTCCTTTTGATTGGAAAAACCTAATTTAGGATATTTCATATATACTTTATATATTAATGAGATAGCTGATACAATAAATAAACTGAAAAAATCAAGTGCATCCAGGGTAAGGTCAAATAAAAATTAAGGAAAATGCAACATCGCTATTGTGCAACAATACCATAGTAGCTGACTCAAGGGCTTATGAGTCACTTTCCAACATATTCAGACCTGTTTTAGCCTGAATCAAAGGTTTGGGGAATAAGATTTAATGCTTTCAAAGCCAATCTATCAAAAGTACTTAAAACTGTTGCATCCATCACTTCTTTTTCAGAATCTGGGATTGATGGAAATAATTCAAGTGTATATACTGGATACACATTCACACACAATTTCCTGCCTTCGCTATTTTTGTGAATACATTACAACAGACTAAGGAATTAAATAGAATAATCTGAAAAGATAATTTCCCTCCATTAATGGTAGCTATTAAGGCTCCAGAACTATAATAGATATTGGCTTTCAGCACAAACACATATTTCTATAAAGTCTATGACTTGGTTATTGGGAAAACAACAGAGGAAGAAATGTTCCTTCTACTAGTAGCATTTTCTTGGCTGCTATGGAATGCCTGACATTACATCCAATTGTGTTCCTATACAGCTTTATGTGTTGTAAGTAACTAGAAACAAGGAGGAATTTGCAACAAAATAACCTTTAAACATATTATCATTCAAATTTCATTATAGTAATTCAGCCAGGAAAGTTGGGGGGGAAGGGCGGTAAAGGCTAAGTATTAATTTTGCACAATACTAAAATATATGTACTGTATGTGCTCATAAGCATATAAATAAATAAGCAATGCTATTTTTCCCTATCTGGAAAAAGGATTAATCAACACTTTATTTTCAGACCACTTAGTTTTCTGACATAACTATTGTTAACAATTGCGTACATTCAAAATATGTATGAAGACGATGACTCCCCCCCCCCATTTAATGTATAATGGAATATGGTGTAATAAATACTGTAAATAAAACTAGCAGAGAAGAAAGAAACAGGGAGGCTAAGATAATACTGGAAAGATCACTGTGTGTTCAAGCCAGGCCATAGTGACTCCAACTTCTGCTCACAAGGTGCTCGTGAGAATTTAAAGGACTTGTGCTTCCTTTGCATTTATAATAGGTGATTGCTTCATGCTTTCCCATTCTTCTTCTCCAATTAAACTTCAATTTGGGATGGGTAGGCAGGGATTCAGGAAAGGGAGAAAAATTTCCAGGCAAGTTACTTAGTTGAAGAAGCAATGTAACAATTTAGAGCCATAAGGTTATATAATTCCTTTAAAAAACTAAGCATTCTGTAAATCAAACCT